GGGGGGTGGTTATGTTTTCCATGTCCAGTAGACGTGCGTACTGCGTAACACATTTGACTTCTCCTGCATTATTATGCAAATGCAAAAACGCATATGATGACCACCCCTGGTGGGTGTGTGTGTGTGTGTGTGTGCATGTGTCTCTGGGTGTGTGCGCTTTTACTCGATCCTCCGTTTCTTTTTCTAATATATGTTCATGTGCTTTCAGATACGGGGAGTGTGAAATGCGTGTGGTTGCAGCGTATCGTCTCTTCTCCAAGGGTCTTCAGCGGCAGGTCTCTGCGGTGGCGGTGTGTTCTCGAACTCGTCCAGCTCTGCAGAATGCCATCTCTGCAGCAGCAGTAAGCCATCGATTTGCTTCCACGCAACGCTGTAAGTTTTTTTTTTTTTTTTTCAAAGATTTAACCGCAAAAGAATAGTTTTAATGCTTTCATTGTTATTGGTTTATACTGTGCATCACTGCTGTACTGCCATACCACGTAAAGCTATCTTATCGGCTTGGAAGAAGTGCAAAAAAGCTTCCCAAAACTCTCTTAAAACAGTGATTTGAGCAGCCGAATGAGGCTTTTCTCTCTTGTGATTGTTACTATCGCATTCTACTATATACGTACACCATCTTTACGAAGAACCATCTAGGTGTTTCTCTTTCATCGCCAGTACCACGCATTGACACGGGGATTTCTACAGTACTCCCGAATATCCCTGCAAAGTTTCAGCTTCGTATCTTGCCTAGTTCGAAAAATCGTTTTTCGCCAAAGAAATTTGCCTGTTTTTTTTTTTTTCGGTGGCCCGTACGCGGAGTCTAGGCGCATGCGGGTATAATTAAGGTTTTTATTCATTTTTTTTTATTTTTTTACTAATTAGGCTTTTTCACAGTGGCTTACTTATTCCTTCTTCATTTTTCTTGCGCCTTTCTCCCCTTTCTCTGCCCTCACATTATGTTTTTTTTTTCGCTCTTCTTTAACGGATGAAATTTTCACAGCAAATTTTCTATTCACAGGAGGTTTTGTTTACTCTTTTTCAACTTTTTTTTTTGCAGCTGATTGTTTAGTTAGTTTTTGAGGGCAGTTCTGATTACAGCAGTAAGCAACGAGTTGGTTGATGCGCTGAAGAACGAGATCACAGCCGAAATGCAACTTGAGAAGGAGAATTTGCGTGGTGAAGCTGCGCCAAAGATTTCCGGTTTCGAAGTTACAACTGATGGCGCTAACGTACAACTAGCAAAAACACACGGAAACGAAAAGTAACTTAGCCCATGTCCCGTATTTCAGCACTTCCAATTACCTTAGGATGCTTTTGTTGACCTTCTTCCAAGTGTTTTTGTGGTTTTGCAACTCTGAGCAGTCAGCAAAATCCCAGTTCCCATTGGTACTGGTAAGGAAATAAAAGATTTCTTTGGCAACTTTTGAAGAGGTAACACACAAGCATCGATGGGTATTAATTAGATATAGCTTAAGAGCGAAAGGGCTATCATAAATCGCACCTAAAATTATCCCACCGAATGCGAAAACTACTCGGACTGTCGGTAAGGAGATATCTTTTTGATGGTGCGGGTGGTTGTGGTATTTTTGCTTACTTTTTGACTTATTCTCGGGGAAAATTGCAGCACTAGGGCAACTTTTCCCAGAGTGGAGAGGTAGATTTTAAGTTGGAGGTAAATTAGTGCGATCTACAGTTATTGCTTCCTGGTTTCCTCGAAAAGGAGCATTTTTTAACCTCATTTGTGCTGGAAATTCCATCACCCCTCCCCGTCCACTCCCCTTCATCACTGTTCATCCAGTGAAGGACAGTAGTTAGAAACTTGCATGTATATTCAGAAAGCCAATTTGTTATGTGTGGCACATAAAATCATTGCTTTACGTTTCAGAATTAACGTATATTTCAATGTGAATCATGCAGTGGATATGGAAGGAGATGAAGATGAGGTTCGATCTTATCCTATAATTCTGTTTTCCCATTACTACTTTTTTTTACAGTGAATATTCAGTCATTTTTGTTTATCACAGTTGCACAATGTTTGTTTTTTTTTAGGATGAAGGCGTTCCACTAGCACTCCCATCACTTACGTTGGAAATTGTTAAGGGAAAGCAACGACTTTGTTTCTACTTGGATCTCTGCGAAAACGAGGAAGCAACGGAGCCAAATCAGCGATGTTAGAATTTACACAAATTTCATCGATCTCTTTTCACAGGGAACTATGTTAATTAGTGTTCTAGCTAATGAGCCAGTTATGAAAACAAAAGGCAGTACGGCCTAAAAGGCCCTGTGAAGAAAGCAAGAAGCGGCCGGAACAGCGGCCCAATCAGCGAAGGGTATTAGACGGCAGGGACCGCACCAATCGTGCATGCAATAGGAAAATGCAGGGGTGGGACGGTAGTCGCCCAAGGTTCGTGGTGATAATGAGAGAAAGAAAATAAAAGGGTGAAAGCTTGTCAGAGGCTTGGCGGGGCAGGTGAATTTGGTTATATGGCCTGTGAAGGTCATAAGCCGGTCGATAAATTGTGATGCTTCAAAAATCGTATAGCGACGCGGGCTTGGCTCTGCGCGATTCTACGGTAGCTCCCGATCTCTGCTGATTTCTAATATCCCACAAACTGAGGATTTTGCCTCAACTGAGACTGAGGGTCATCGTTTTTGCCTCAACTAAACTGCTCTTCCCATGTGGATCATTTCGTGCTCGTTGAAATCTTTCACGCACCTTTGCACTACGTATTTCCCGTCATTCATCGCAAAATCTGCTGCCACTCCAGGAGCTGGTGCATTCGTCAAAAATTTAAAATTCAGCATTCCCTGAAGATTTTAAGATTTTATTAAAAATGGATGTTATTCGGGGGTGTACTGAATGTTGAAATTGTTGCAGTTGATTTCCGTGTAGCCGAGTTTTACATCGCTCCGGCACCAGAGAAGGGAGGCGATGATGATGTCCCTGATTCGGTGTACTCTTCATCCGGCAAATACATTGATCCCGTATGTTTAATGTTTTTGCTTTTAAACAGATTTTGCATTTAATTCTTCGCTCGCTAAATTCCATAGTCGATGGAAACAAGGGCGCAAGATTCAGGAGCATGTGGCTGTTAATTTTGGAGCTCAGTTGTGTTTCTGGCAACTTTCTCATGTTTGCTTTTACCAGCGTTGCTTCGCTTGGTGGTTAACTTGCTGGCTTTCCTGAAATTTCTATCGCCTTGTGGAGGATGCACAAGCCTCGTGGTTCTTTCAACTAAAATACCGGACAAAACGCTTTGGCTGTTTCGAGATGTTATTAGTATTTGATGAGCAAAATCACGTTTGTTTCGGATACATTTAGGCAGTAGAAAATGTTATAAGGGTAGCAGTTATCGCTGGCAGAGTTATTCTTGGCTGCATCATTTAGAGGTTGCTTACAAGCAAGCTGATGACAGGTTTGACTTTCTCGTGGCATTTGTCAGTATCAGTTTACCATCAAAACGAATGAGCGACTGTTTGAGCGACCGGATTCGAACTTTTGAATTTCTGCGCAGCAGTTATTCAGCTTCTACAGTTCAAATTTCAGACACTTCACGAGCTGTTATTCAATCACTATTTGGCGGAACGCGGCTTTGACCAGAAATTTTGTCGCGAAGTTGTGGATTTCGCCACGCATTATGAGCATTCGCAGTATGTGGCATTGTTGAGCAATATCAAAAGTTTCGTGTCGAATTGATGATACTTGCGTTGCGTGATGGTCCGGCCCGGTTCACGGCGCACTTTTGCTAATTTCGTTACGTTATTCCTGTGCTATGTTTTAATCAAATAAATTTTGTTGAAGGCAATTTTATTTTCTGTGTCTCGCTAAATGGAGGTTTATCGGTGCACTCACAACACTTCCTTTTTTGCTTGAAAGTACTTTCAATAAGTATTTTTGCAGCAAAACTGATTGTGTGTTGGAAGACTGTGTTAGCGCACTTCTGATTCTGTTAGTGCTGGAAAATTGGCCTGAATCACGATAGCTTGTGCCTAATTTTGAAAAAAAAAGCGATTCGTCCTGATTGTCAGTAAATGTCAGGGAGGTGAACAGCCAATACTTTGCCCCTCAAGCAGTCCGCGGAAATAGTTCTGCGATGGTTTATCTGGTGTTAGTAATGCACCCCTTCATTTGGTGGGCACTGAACTGGAATTCGGAGTAGTCTGGTGAAAGAAAAGAGGGAGGAGGGGTATTGGGTCAAACTTCTTTAGGAGTGGAAACATCGACAACAACTGGCCACCCACTGCGGAGCGGCAGTTAAATTTCTGCACGGTTAATGGTCTGGTCCAGTCGCAGTGTTGAGTTAAGACGTGTATGACTTAATGGACCGAAATGTCTTATCTCGCTCTTACCTCCTCTAATCTACAGTATTTCTTTTTTATTGAATTCGTTCACACCTTCGCCATCTGCATTTCCAGGTTCAACCTGGACGCTGCAATCTGCAATTGAGATCGATAGCTGTGGGGGGCTAGTAAATGATGAGTTACGGAGGGAGAGAGGCCGAAGAGAGTTAGTCAATGCTTCGACCTGTGGTCATCGGTCATTCAAGAGAGAGGAGAGTAGCAAGGTATCCTGTGCATACGTGCTGCGAAAGCAGAATCGAAGAATCGATGCAGAAAGCAATTTTGGTGGCATATGCCTGAAGATGGTCATGTAATATGCAACTTCTGAGAGATCTTTGGTCGATACACTTACTTAGTATCGTCGACTTGTTTCACACTACCTATCTACCTACACACATACATGCATATAAATACATATGTACATGCATACATACATATCTACATAAATACACATATATATACGTACACACACACACACACACACACACACACACACACACACACACACACACACATACATTACATACATAAATATACCCACAAATGCATACATATATATATATGTACATACATATATTTATATACATATATACTTACACACTTATACATGCACACAAACATTTTTATGCACTTTTACTAGATAAATCATTACCGGCACTAGGATAGGATGCGGTGTAATATACAATTTAATGGATCGTAATGTCCTCATCCTGTCTAATACTACAATACCTTGAATACCTTGAACAGCTGTTGTTTCATCGATCTCTGATGTCACGCCATCGATGCAGCTGGCAACTTCTCTAATACTACCATATGTATATATATATATTTTTTTTTTTGTAATTGTACATGAATATATATGTGTGTGTACTTATGCGAACGGTAATATATGTATGTGTGTATGTATGTGTGTATGTATGTATGTATGTATGTATGTATGTATGTATGTATGTA